TGCTTGAGTGCTTGAGGTCAACAATGGAGGGAGAGAGAAAGAGCTCCTGCTCTGCTTTGGACGTGCTCAAGTGAGGACGAAGAGGTAGGTGACCGTTGGGAAGGAAGGAGAAAGGTATATATATACCCCCTAGCCCCCAATAGTCACTGAAATCATAGATAGATGTTGGGGAGGAAAGGGAAAGGTATATATACCCCCAACCCTCAATGGTCACCGCACTCAAGGGGTCGGGCGAGACGGAGCCCGTGACTTTAGGGTTGGGCAAGACGGAGCCCGCGACATTGGGGTCAGGCAAAACAGATCCCGTGACCTTGGGGTCGGGTGAGACGTATCCCGCACCAAGGGGTCGGGCGAGACGTATCTCGCGACCTTAGGGTCGGGCAAGATGGATCTCGCGACCTTGGGGTCGGGCGAGACGGAGCCCGCACCAAGGGGTCGGGTGAGACGGATCCCACGACCTTGGAATCGGGCGAGATGGATCCCGCACCCAAGAGGTCGGGCGAGACAGTTTAATTCATCTTGAGCTATCCGAGGAAGTCAGCGTGGGCGCTAACTTCCTTGTGCCGCGACCCAAGTGCGTCAGTGCCTCTCTTCAAGTATGACAGTGCCGCATCACGCAAGACAGCAAGGGTAATAGTAAAGTGGGGACTGTCCTGGCTATGAATCTAAGGATGCTTATGGTTGTTTGAGCACTTGATAGCACATATTAGCTTAAACATTGTGTTCCCCTTTATAGTATGACTTTTTCTATACTCAAATTCAAGATATAAAAGAATCTTAAACCTCTTTTGAGTTTGAAGCCATCTATATTTGTAATTAGGGGCTCCTCCATTTCATGTAGCATCCTCGAATATAAATTCCCTGCTTGTCATCTCGATAAATCGCATTAGTTCTCTAATTGCGTGGTCATTATCACCAAAACCCACAATTAAGGCTTGATTGCACTTTCACTTGGGCTCCTTCCTATGCTCCCCCTTATTGGAGCACCGGACATGAACCACTTCATGAGGACACAGTCTTTGTATATGTGCTTGACGGGGAAGGCATGGCCCTTCAAGCAGCTTCTCGAAGTGGTCTGGGGTACCCTCGGTGGGCTTCTAACCCCCTTGTGGTCGGCAGCGGCCACGAGCGAGCCCTCACGCCGCTGCTTGTTTTTCTTCTTGTTGGGGCGGTTGAAGGCGCCTTCACTAGAGTCCTCGTCCCTCTTCGCCTTGCCCTTGGGACGGTCAAAAATTGCTCCGATCGCCTCCTCGCCCGAGGCATGGCTAGTGGCGATGTCAAGGAGCTCCTTGGTGGTTCGCGAGCCCTTGTGTCCTAGCTTGTGAACCAGGGACTCGCAGGTGGTCCCGGACAGGAAGGCTCCTATAACGTCGACGTCGGGCAGCTAGTTGCACTGCTAGGAGAAGCGTCGGATATACTCACGAAGAGTTTCCCTAGACTTATGTCGGTAGTTTTTGAGATCCCACAGGTTCCCAGGATGCGTGTAGGTGCCCTAGAGGTTTCCCACAAAAATCTCCTATAGGTCCACCCAACTTTGAATCCGGTTGGGCGGAAGGTGCTCCAACCATATTCACGCCGAATTGGCTAGGAACAATGGGAGGTTGCGGATAATGAAATTGTCATCATCCACTGCACCGGCTTGACAAGCAAGCCGGTAATCCTCGAGCCATAGTCCGAGGTTTATTTTCCTGGAGTATTTTGGGATGTTGGTCGGCGGTCGGTACCGCGGTGGGAAGGCAGCGTTGAGGATGTGTTGGCCGAAGGCCTGAGGTCCCGATAGGTCGGGGCTCGGGCTCCGGTCCTCGCCACTGTCATAGCGTCCGCCGCGATGAGGGTGGTAGCCACGGCCAGCTTCCTCTCTCTCTCATCGCGTCGTCCACGCCTACGGGGCATCCAGGGTGTTACGTGCGTCACGGTGGAGGCCGAGACACTCATGCACCGGGGCCACGGCGCACCCCCCCGCCGCCGCGTGGCGCCTGGTGGACAGACACGTCCCAAACATGTTGTCCCGAGGGCGCACGCTGACTGGCGTTGAGCTCGTGTCACTAAGACAGCGAGCTCTCTTCCTGCTGCACCGCCACGCACTCGAGCAGCATGCGGATCTCATGATGGGCCCGATGATCCTCCGGTGTGTGAGAGGGCGCCGTGGCAGCAACGTTCTGGCTTGCCCGGGCGAAGTATGTGAGGGCTCCATCATCTACGATGATCCTACGATTCATGTCGCAGGCCATGGCACACGCACGCCCACCGTCTCTGCGGCGCTCGATCTCCCGCTCGAGCTCTGCGCGCTCCTGCTCGAGTTGGAGTCGTGCATCCTGGTGCCACGCCCTTAGCTATTCCGCTCGCATGCGAGGAAGGGCCCCTGCATCTTCCTCGACCTCGTCGTTGAGGTCGTTTGGTGGGGTAGCCCCTCCCTCATGGACGCTTTTGACGCATCCCTCTGGGGTGTCTGCCATAAAACATTCTCGCGAGGGGTGATGGCTCCCCTGCTAGAGTCAGAGTAAGAGAGCGACTCTAAAACTCCTGCGAGAAGGTCATGGAAAGATTCCGCGATGTATTTGGTCATCCCCACGAACTCGTGATTCGCAGGGGATGAGTGCATGCGCTGTGCCATGAGGTGGCCAACGGTCCCCGCAGCATTGCGTAGACCGAACGGGAACGCTACTGGGGCGCCCCGGGTGAGGTGTTCTGGGAGTGTGGTTCCCCCCCTAGCGAGTTGGATCATGGCATTGGCGAAGGAGAAAGTAAGGCAGCGCAGCTCCTCTCGGGACGGTCGGGGTCCCAGGAAGGCGTCGAGTTGGCGCTCCAGCCTCCCGTAGTCGAAGCCGAGGAGCCGGTTGCTCCTGGGGACACGGGCCTCCGGCGCATGCAGCTGTAGCTCCTTAAGCGCATCGACGATCACACCGAGGCCGGTGGAGTGGAGAGGCTGGACGGCGGCATGAGCCTGCGCCAACTCTCTCTCCGTCGTGACGATGAAGTCCAGGCTACCGAAGCGCACGTGCGCGTCCGGGACCTAGCTAACGCTGTGACTAGCCATCTGAGGACTGATGTGGACGTCGAGATGCGCAAAAAGCCCCTACCTGGTGCGCCAACTGTCGGTGTTTCGAACCACCGGCTAGTAAATTTGTATCTACGCGTCTGGCCCAGATGGTGTGCTCGGAGGACACAAGTATTTATACTGGTTTGGACGAAATGTTCCTACGTCCAGTCTGCTGTTGCTCGTGTTACCGGCACTAGTTTATAATAGGGGTTACAAACGGACGAGAGAGTGAGAAGGTCCCAAGTCTCTGGTGAAAAGATCGAACAGAGTTGAGTCTTGGTGAGCTCGTTTAGCTGTGTGCTCGTGCCTCTCCCCTTCATGGGGCGTCATGGTTCCCCTTTTATAGGTGAAGAGGAAGGCACATGTTAGAGAGAGAAGGAGAAAAGCGAGGGAGAAGAAGGCCTCCAGGATCGCGGCGTCCTTCACCATCTTTATGCGGGTCCCGCCGGTCCTATAGATGATGACAGGGATGGCTCCATGTCGTGGCCTTGTTCATCACTGGCGCTACACGCATGCGTCGTTAGCCTGTCGTGGCATGGCATCCCGTCCCGGCGAACGGCGTGGTCAACAAATACTCCTGTCAGAAGCCGTACGGGGATTAGGCAGCACAGCGCTGCACGCCCGACATTGTTGGCGACGTTAGCCCCCAGGTATGGTCCATCGTGGCCACGAGTCACGTCGAGACGTGCCCGCTTTCCTCCGGGTGTCAGAAGTTGGACTCTGGGGTCGTACTCTTAGACCCGTAGTGGTTAGAGGTGGTATGGCTCCCCTTCGGGCAAGACGGAACCCGCACCCGAGGGTTATGGCGAGACGGGGCCCATGCCCTCGGGGTCAGGCGAGACGGAGCCCGCGCCCGAGGGGTCTGATGAGACGGAGCCCGCGCCCTCGAGGTTGGGCGAGACGGAGCCCGCGCCCTCGGGGTCGGGCGAGACCTTAAATACGTCTTGGACCATCCGGACGAATTAACGTTTGTGGCCGTTAACTTCCTTCCTCCGGGTATCCCTAATATCGATACCCTACATGTACCTTTGATCAAATATAAGCAACCAGCTAGGAAATAAGCTTATCAGCTATTACAACGAAAAGACAAGACAAGAAAACCGGCGTACATCTCCCAAAAATAGGTTTGGTCGATCTAGACACCGCGATAAACAGCATGAAATGGATGAACTTGTTGTAGAGGTGATAAAACTCGATTTGGGTTGAGATCATAAACACAGACAGGCTTGTTGTAGCATGCCTGAGATCAGTACCTCGCTGGAAATAATCAAATATTGTGCGTGAAACTTGAACAATGGTCCTACTGATGGATGGAGATCACCAAGGAGAATAGAAGGCCGACTTAATTTAGAATGTTTTTCAAGCAAGAAAAGGAAAATATATACTCCCTCCATGCTGGTAATTCAAGTCGTTTTGGACAATGACACTGACTTTTTATTTTTATAAAAATATTTATTAAAAAGTTTTATATATATATATATATATATATATATATATTTATGAAGGTGTTTTTCAAGACAAATCTATACGTGTTTTTCACATTTTGAAAGTCAACCACTTAAAAGTTATTTATAATTTATATTCCCAGTGTTTTATCAAGTCTTGTCCAAAACAACTTGAATTACCATTTCGAAGGGAGTAATTAAAAGGAAAACTAGCAACCAGCGGCTATTTGCGTGAGCATCTTGCTAGTCAAAATTACTGCTAAATGCATCATGCGTGACGAGCAAACGGAGGAAGATAAACGCAGATACGCCATTAGGTGAGAGAGAAACACTAGTGCTGGATGAAATAATCTTGCAGCTACTGGCTGGTGGTCAATTACATTACCAGATTACCAATGACTTCTCTACTACACTAGAATACATCATCAGGGACCGATCGAGGGGACAACTAACTAGCTAGTACACTATACTAGTTGGCTAGTTGCTACTGGGTAGTAATAATAAACAACACGTGATCAGGATACGTAGCCTAGGAATACGACTAGTAGGAATACGTGGCTAGGAGCAGAATACATGTAGCAGGACAGACAACCAAGCCGCTGCAACTGAACGCACACCCACAAAAAGCACAAGTCTTTCCGTGCGTTTTGCTCGGCGGTGCCCCCGTTTTTGCGGTCGAACTTGCTTGTTGCATGTCTAGGCTAGGTAAGGAGAAAAACACATATATATCATCGCATGGATGGGTAGATATATATGGGCTAGGTTCGCTTCTCTTATAATTCGTCTTTTTCAACTTATTTTTTCAGCGAGAACAATATTTTTTTCTCATAATAAATTAACCGGAACAGTGTTTCGACTTTTTCAGTGAAGCGAACGGGCCATAGCCATATAGGTGGTGTTGGCCGGCAGGCGATGGGTGGAGCTAGCGAGAGCCACTGAGCCAGGGATCGGGCGATCGATGATAAGCGGGCGATCGAGTCCAGGAGCGAGGCGTTGTAGCCGACCTGTTCGATCTCCCAACACAGCTTGGGCGTCGCCGGGTCCTCGTCCTGCACCGGCTCGTACTCACTTTGGTTCCCACGGACGGTCAGAAACGCATCATGCATGAACTTGTCATCACACGTAGTAACTGCTGGCTACACTAGACCTGGCACACTTGGTTTCAGTAGGGCAGACACATGTACACACACCAAACTTATTACGAGTAGTGCTACTATCTTTGTTTATAATGTAATACTATAGATATATACCGGCCGGTCCTTGCTTAAGACTGTTTCAATTCAGCTGTACTACCACTCCTATCAGAGAGAATCTGGACGCTTTTGGGAGCGTGCATGCGTGGAAATCAAAGGAACCGAATAACCAATGCCGTTGCGCACAGGGCAGGCAGGGCCGGGCAAAGGCCGGCGAGCGTGAGTGTGACACTGCCGCCTGCCCGCCTTGGTCTGTGGCTCGCTGTGTTTGGATGACGACCAGACAAAAAAGAGGTCGTGCGTGCGTGCGTGTACGTGTACGTGCCAGGCCACATGCCTGACCAAGTCATCATCCGTCAAGGACGACCGCCAGCGAGTCCCGGGGCGGCACCGCGGCAGACGGGCAGGCGAGGCGCGCGCACGGGCGCTCTGCTGCCACCACGCACCCACCGGCCACCGGCTGCCTTGGACCAACCAGGAGGCCGCCAGGACCGCGCGGCTTTGGATGATGAGATGCGCCCCCATGCGCGTGCGTAGGCCGGGACCCGAGAGAGAGCGTCCAAGCGCCCAAGCGGACGGACGCACGCACGCACGGGGCACAAGTCACTGTAGCGAGTACTACTCGTGTTTACCAACATACCTCCAGCTTGTGGACGAGTTCCCTGGCGTCGGGGGCGCTGACGAAGATGTGGCGCTGGGAGGGCTTGATGAACCCGTCGTCCACCGCCTTGTCGATGAACGCCAGCAGGAAGTCGTAGTACCCGTCCACGTTCAGCAGGCCCACCTGCGCCACATACAGACACAGTTGTGTTGTGGGAGTAGTAGTAGTCAGTGACTAATAACCTGCTGCGTCTGCCTCTGCTGGCGCGCGCGTTCGTGTGTCTCTGTGGGTATGACGCTGCAGCAGCAAAAACAAAGCACGCAGTCAGCTGGAGGAAACGTGCTGATCGAGACATGGCCGGTGAACAGCCGGACGAGAGAGGCGTGCGTGCGACTGACTGAGGCCCCGTTTAGTTTTCCCCAGAATCTAAAAATTTTTGCGCAGTACCCGTCATATCGAATCTTGCGGCACATGTATGGAGTAATAAATGTAGACGAAAAAAAAACTAATTGCACAGTTGGGTGAGAAATCACGAGACGAAACTTTCGAACCTAATTAGTCCATAATTAGACACTAATTATCAAATAAAAACGAAAGTGCTACAGTACCACAAACCTAAAATTTTTTTTTGATCTAAACACGCCCTGACCCAATGACATGGCCCTCCGTACACCAAAATCCATCTTCCTCGCCACCTGTAGTGCAAGTGCAACGTTCAGCCAGTCAGGCACCAACGCTCGGGTCGGGTCGGGTCGACGAACCAAACAGAACACCACCATGCCATGCAGATGCAGGGGCCAGGGGTACGGCGTGCGTGCGGGTGCTCTGTGCTCACTCACCAGCTCCTTGCCGAGCTCGACGGCGGCGTCCCGGTAGCTGCTCCGCTTGCCGGAGCTGCTCCCGCAGAACACGCACACCCGCCTGAACCTGCTTCCGGACTCCTTGCCCGCGCCGCCGTTCTCCGCCGCCGCCCCTTCCGCTTCCATCATCGGCCTTGATGGCTTGCTAGCACGTAGCACCTAGCAGAAAGAAACAAGAAGCTGCTGCTGCGTCTGCGTGTGGGCGGTGGTGCTGTGGCCGATCGATTGGCCGGCGCGCGGATATAAAAGGCGCGCGCGCTTTTGGGCCGGGGCCCCGTGGAAACAGGAGTTGTGATGGATCCACCGAGGTTTCAGAGGGGGCCGAGGCTGATTCGCGCTGCGGGTATATCGGTACTACTACACGGTAGCTAGGGCTAAGCCGCCATTGATTAGCGGCCATGTGACGGGAGTAATTGTAATCCCCTCTCGTGTCGTCCGATCGGATGCCTTGCTCGAGTGTGGTGCGGGCTGCTGATCAGTCGTGGTGCCACTGCCACTGCCACTGCCAGCTGATATAGCTTTTGAATTTTCCTTTCTCCGGTCAAAGAGGAAAAAAAACCGACGTGTAAGTTTCTCGTCTCCCTTCCAGCGCTGTAGATTTGCGTGCGTCCGGTGGTGACTACTGGCTAACGATGTCCATCCAATCGCGCAAGGAAACCGCGACGACCTGCGTGCTGTGCTGCTCTGTGGACGCGAGCTCATACTTGGTCATCCTTCTCGCTCTGAAAAGGACGGGACCTGGAAATTGGCCCGGGTTCTTTCTTTTTTACACACATTTTTCAGGCCATAGTAGTATTTGATTGATATATAGCTTGTTCGCTTGCTCGTAAACGATCGTAAATTTCCAGTCAGGAACAATGTTTTTCTCTCACACCAAACTAGCTAGCAGTAAATAATCCACGATACGATACGGCCTCCCGAACAGGCTGATAATATTTGAGAGGTCGTAGTGCTAGTAGGATATTTTGTAGTAATACAAAAAGGAAGAATAGACTCATGATACGAGTATCCTATCCGGTGCCTTATCTGATACAGATAGTAAGACTGTCCACAGTGTGAGCAGTGCCAAAAAAAATTTCAATCTGACACAGAGCACCGATGCTTCAGCTCTCCAATTCTCACAGCGTGGGCACCGATGCTTCACTGTGCTTATGGACCCCGTCGTAGAGGCCGGCAGAGGCGAACGAGGAATAATATTTTTTAACGTTTGAAGCACCGGTGAATGAACATGCATCGGTGCCCACTTTTTTTTCATCTCAGCACCGGCTACAACATGGACATCAATGCTCCAAATAGGAGAGAGAGTGTTTTGGCACTGGTAAAAATCAACGCTGTGGCTAGTCTAAGTATGTGGCCCACAGGCCACAGGCGCACCAGCTCTACTCTACAAGTCAAAGCACTCCAGACAGGTTCAGATACATACAGAAGCTGAATCTGTCAAATGTTATGTTTGGATCTAGTGACTAAAAAATAGAAGATATGTCGGAAGGATATTTCATGGGGTGTTCGGATACTATAAAAAAACAAATTACATAATCCGTCGGTACTCTACGAGACGGTTTTTTAAGCCTAATTAATCCGTCATTAGCATATGTTTACTGTAGCACCACGTTGTCAAATCATAGATTAATTAGACTTAAAAGATTCGTCTCGCAAATTAGTCGTAAACTATGCAATTAGTTTCGTAATTAATTTATATTTAATACTCTATGCATGTGTCCAAATATTAAATGAGACAGCGACTAAAATTTAGAAGAGGCAACCAAACGCCACCTAAAATTCTCCTCTTCTTTTGGCTTCAATTCGCGTGGTGGTCTGTTGGATCATAGGACCAACTTGTTAGCCTGTTCGCTTGTTGGTTTCAGCCAGCCCAAACCAGCCAGCCAACCGTGTTTTTCTTTCATAAAAAAACCAGCACCAGCCAGTCCAAACCAGCACCAGCCCCAACCAGCGAAGAGACCCGTTGTTGCCTTTGATAGTGCCGGCAAGCCCGCATGTCGATCGTTAGTCAGTCAGTGGAACCTCGCTCGGTGTCGAGTGTCGACAGTCGACACGACACTGACACTCCAGCCAATGCAACTCACCCGTCTCACTCAGCTGACTGACTTGCAGCTGCAGACGGCAGTCGCTACCAAAACTCACGACGTCAGACTGTCACCAACAAACACGTTTTATCCTCTCCTGAATCACAGACGAGACGAGAGAACCAGGGCGGCCTTGGAAACTGCAATCATATGCACGACACATCTCCACTGCTCTCCCTTCTCTTCCCGGCCAGGATCCCGGACCTCTCCGAGCCCCCTGTCGGAATTCAAAAGCATGTTCGGCACGCTGTAAACGATCGTGGATTATTTACTGCTGGCCAATTTAATATGAGAAAAAAATATCATTCTAACTTATAATCTACGATCATATACGAGCAAGCGAATAGGCTATATTGATGGTCTCGCACACCTACGCAGTACGCGCACATTGAGTCATGACTCATGAGTGGCACACCAACTTTGCAGACCACACATACCGCTAGTCTGCTGCTGCTACTGCTACCCTCCCGTTTCGTGCGAGAGCCGATCAATTGATAGGAGATTAATGATCGGTCCATCGCAGTGACCTACTGCTAGGCCTAGTTTAGTTGGTGAATTTTTTTTGAAAAGGTATTGTAGCATTTTCGTTATTATTTGGTAATTAGTGTCTAATCATAGTCTAATTAGGCTTAAAAGATTCGTCTCGTGAATTTCGTTTAAACTGTGTAATTAGTTTTATTTTTTATTTATATTTAATGCTTTATGCATACGTCCAAAGATTCGATGTGACGAAAAATCTTGAAAAATTTTACAAAATTTTAAGAACTAAAAAGGCACCTACATGCTGCCGTTGGCCCGTTGCTGCTGCACCTCCGCTTTGCTCCCTGCCGATGTTAATTCACTTTACCAACGCACTTGGATCTACTACGCCCTCGATCTAGTCTAGTTCTACCACTACCCTCTAAGGCTAATCCCATGTAGGAATATGTGTAGTACTATTCCAGTTCGAGCCCTGCAGCTAATGCACTGTTGAATGCATGTAATGGCAGATTGGCAGCAGTAGCTTAATTGTGTAGTACTGTATCATGCATGCACCCACGGGGCTATTATAAGCAGGGAGCAGCCGATCGAGCTACTTTAAGTGAAGTGGGCGAGAGAAAGTTCCACTCCACTGCTACACCACCACGCTACAAGCAACAGCTAGCTGTGTCTGTGTCTGTGTCTGTGTCTGTGCAGTGTAGTTATTTAGCCCTCGTTTAGTTCGGCGCGGAATCGGCACCGTCAGAGTTACTGTAGCCACAGTAGCTACTGTAGCGTTTCGTTTGTATTTGGTAATAATTGTCCACGTTGACTAATTAGGCTCAAAACGTTCGTCTCGTAAAATACAACTAAACTGTGCAATTAGTTTTTTATTTCGTTAACATTTAGTACTCCATACATGTACCATAAGTTTAACGTGACGGGGAATCTTCTTTTTGCATAATGCCAAATTCTGAAAATTAGGATAACTAAACAGGCCCTTACATGTTCGCTACACAGCCGGCTGGCGGCTGCTGCTGCTAGTACAGTTATATGTGAGGAGGAGTTACAGCCAGCCATGCTGCGGCGGCTGTAAATAATGCGTAGTACCAGTGTAGATGTTGTCGAATACGGATCTGGAAACGGATCGGATTCTATCATGATATCATCTTTTTACCATATTTTAATTCGAATACGAATACGGATTCGAATATTTTCGAATACGAATACAAAACAGATGTCTCAGGTTCGGATTTCTATTCGGATATTTACTCAATCAACTTAAAATGTATATTGTAAAATTTAACATGCATGATAAAATTTTACTACTAAGTACATCGTTAACCAAAGCGAACTAAATGAAAGTACACTTCTAATAATCTAAAGAGAACTAAATAAATTTATATAAAATAATTTAGATCAATAAATAAATATTCCTCAATTTAGAAAAAACTAAAATTAATTTAATATTTATGTACCATTAAGAATTTTAAATTAATTCTAAAAGCTATTTATAGATATATACTATTGAATGGGTTCAATGCATTATTAGTAATAATAAAATTAATAATTGGTCACTTGTTGTGAAGAGAAAACTTCTAAGTAGGTTCATGATACGTTGTTTTCTTCGTGGATACAAATACTGTCAGATATTGTCGAATACGAAACTAGAATCGGATCGAGAAAAACACTGAAAAACGAATTCAGATATATCCATTTAGTATCCATATTAGAAACAAATACAAGTACGAATATTCATATTACAAGTTTTAGCGGATACGGATATCAGATAATTCGTATATCTACTTCCATTTTTCCATCCCTAGAACTGGGCTGGGGTTTACACTCGATCAGCTGTACTGCCACTGCCGCTCTGTTGGACTACTGCTCGACTTGATTTGGGTGCCCAACCCCTCTTCTACGATCGGCCGATCCTTTCCTGTCCCCTGCCGCTCGATCATCTCTCTCGACGGGCTGTTCTGCGGCTGATAAGCTGACTGATGCTGTTTTGTTATGAGAGAAAAACTCGTTGTACCAGGCGAACCAGGCATCGAAAGTGCCATTCCCTCGCTCCCAGCTGCGCAGCTGTAAACCTTTCATTTTCACTGCTGTTCTGTACCGTAGGAGTATTGCCTAGACTAGGCCCTGTTCGTTTGGCTGATAAGTCATGACTGAAAGTATCGTTGACTAATTTGTTGTGGGAGAAAAATATTGTTCGTTACCTGAAAAAGTACTGCTTATAAGACAAGCGAACATTCAGCCTGTTCGCTTGGTCGTACTTGGCTTATAAGCCCTAGCTTATCAGCTAAAGAACAATATTTTTCTCTCACACCAAACCAGCCAACAGTACTTTCAACCATGGTTTATAAGCCAAACAAGCCCAAACGAACGGGCCGATTAGCACGGCGCACCTAGTACACGTCCATTCAATTTTGCTGTAGCATGCAGCTACCTGCGGCCTGCTGCACTGCGCTCCACACAGTTACAAACTTACTACAGTAGTGTGCTGGCAGAACACTAGAACAGTAATACTCCGTAGCAGGTTGAGAGGTGAGCAGTGACAGTAGTGAGCTGCTAGAGCATGCATGCATCGTCGTCGGCGCAGATCGATGCTGGTCCTAAGAAAGCATCGTCCAGGCGATCGATCATCAGTCCATCCAATTCAAGCTTCACTTTGACTGGAACACTTCAGTACCACGGATATGCAGATACAGTAGCATGTATTCGCTTGCAGTTGCAGCTCCCTAATAATTTCAACTCAATCAACCGGGCTCATGGTGTGCACTGCAACTCCACACAGTTACAAACTTACAGTAGTGTTCTGGCAGAACAGTAATACTTAGCATTTTTTTTTAATACTAGCAGGTTGAGAGGTGAGCAGTGAACAGCTAGAGCATACATCGTCGTCGGCACAGATCGAGGCTAGTTCTCACAAAGTAGGGATGCATGCGGATGTGCAGATATCCGAAAGATCCGATATCCATATCCGTTTTAGCGTAAATCAAGTTGATATCTGAATTTGAGATATCTGTTTGCATTAATACCCGACAACATCTGTATTCGTATTAGAATTTGAATTAAAGTATGGTAAATACTGGTATCCGAATCCCGTATCCGTCCGAATCCATACCTATCAGAAAGCATGGTCCCCCAGGCGATCGATCATCAGTCGATCTAATTCAGCTTCACTTTGACTGGAACACTTCAGTGCCACGGCTATGTAGATACAGTAGCATATCTTCGCTTGCTGCTCCCTAATAATTTCAACTCAATTAGCCGGGCTCATGGTGACCACCTTCCCCGTCAGATACTGTCAAATAAAAAGGGTGCAGAATTAACTGATAGTAAAGCATTCTCTGAGCCGGTCAGATGCGTCCATTGGTCCCTGCAGTGCCAGTCTAAGTGTAAATAGCAACTGCTCTCGCTTCTACGCCTACAGTACGTCCATCTCACAATTGTATGCAAAAAACCGAAATGGTAATTCTGAAAAAAAAATTACCGTCCCAAGATCGATCCATGGATCGTCGCCGTTTTCCAATGCGTGAAATTATCAAATTGGCATGTCGAGATCGATCCATCAAAAGAAGCGGCGGATAAATGCATGCGTTCGTGATGATTGTTCCTATGCGCTCCTAGCTAAAGAATGTACTCCATCCGTCTTAAAATAAGGCCACGTTTAGTTCGCGAAAAGTTTTAGATTTTGTAATTGTAGCACTTTCGTTTGTATTTGGCAATTAGTGTTTAATCATAGACTAATTAGGTTCAAAAATTTCGTCTCGCGATTTCTCACCCAACTGTGCAATTAGTTTTTTTTTCGTCTACATTTAATGCTCCATACATGCGTCCAAAGATTCGATGTGATGGACAAAAACTAAAATTTTTTGGAACTAAACGTGGCCTAAACTCGTTCTCACTTCCCAAAGAGTCAATTGTTTTTAGCTTTGACCAAATATATACAAAAAAATGTTAATATTTAGGGTTAATAATTAGTATCATTAGATACATCTTTGAATCTATTTTTATAATAAACTTATTCGAATATACAAATATTGCTACTATTTTATATAAATATAGTTAAACTTAAGAAAATTTAACCAGCACAAATAACGTAGCGACACTTATTTTGTGACGCATGGAGTAAGAAAAGAATTGAAGGTGATGTGATATGCGTACTACATATACCACTCTGCAGCAGCTGCAGCTGCAACTGCAATAATCTTGGCCTCGACCCGGTTTGATCCGCTTCTTTTTTCATCTGAAACAGTATTTTTCTCTCACAAATTTCTTCAGAATTCTTCCAAACCATCCAAATTCCTCCACAACCATACCAGCTAATTTGACTTGGTTGCTTGTGCATATCCCTATTGCCCATCAACGAAGTTGAGCGGCATCCCAAATTGAGGTTGACTAGCAATCGATGCCGCTCCACTAGTAGATTCATCATGAGGTGAAGTATCAGATCCCGTATCTATTTTCTTACCCTCCAACTTTGCAAATTTCAAATCGATCTTATTGAGTCTCTCATCAATGGCATTTGTCATGGTTTTTTGAAACCAACAAGCATTGTTGCATATTGGTCCACTGTAGGGAGAGGGTCAGAATTTCTCATCTTGGTTTTTACCTCAAATGTACCCCCTCCGTCAAGAAAAGAATGCAATTATGGAATCTGTATCGGTCAAAGTAGCTCAAGTTTGACCAAATTTATAGCAAATAGTATTAATATTTATGTCTCCAAATAAATTTATTATGAAAATATATTCTATAACTAATCTAATTATACTAATTTTGTATTATGAATGTTCGTATTTTTTTATATAATTTTGGTCAAAGTTCAAATTGATTAACTCATCGAGAAGCGAGAATTACATTCTTTCGTGGACGGAGGGGTAACTGTTTGAACCGTGCGTTTGTTTGGCTGCTGCCCGTTAGTACTGCTCACTGCTCACTGTTCACTGACGTGGCTACTGTTCATCCGTGTTCCCGGCACCGGCGCGGCGTAGCGCGCCTGCCATGCTAGCACATGCATGCGGCTAGCTCGTTAGCGCTTACGTGCGCGTGACACAGACGCGCGCGACGGCGACGCGCGCTTTCGTGCCGCCGCTACGTACCCGCTATAGCATTAGCATAGCATGTGCCGGCCGGGCAATGCAGCTGCAAGATCGAACGCCGGCCGGCCGACCGAGCCGTCAGGTGGATTAGGCTCGGATCACGCAGCCTGTCCCTAAATTTATAGGCGGGAACAACGTTTTTTTCTCACACCAAACCAGCCAGCAGTAAATAATCCACGATACGATACGGCCTCCCGAACAGGCTACGTTCCCCGTCGGAAAATGCGTCCATCCCGGTGCAGTGCGCCTGGTTGTTGTGACCTAATAACGTTGCTTTCCGGCCTCGTGCGTGCGTGCGAAAAAAAAATGCGAATTCATCATCAGCCCGGTCGACCAGCTCCGATCCTTTTTCTCGTAAAGCCCAGGTAATGCAGGATTGTTTAGTTCCTATATGGTCGTTCTGCAGGGAAAATCAGGCGCCTCCTGGAGCCAGCACGGAAATCGCTTTGCTTGGCTTTGCGTTGGCGGCGGGTAACTGCGTCCGTGCGTGCATGCGAGGAAATTCTTGGCCATCGCGGGTGTGCCCGCCTACCGCTCGTAGTAGCTCGTTGTTCACCCGTGCGAGCAACCACCTCTTCCGGATTGGCTGCAGGGCTGAGTGGCGACAAGCCGACAGTAGGCCATGTCACGGCCTAGGGGGGCCTACAAGCTAGAAGGATGAGTGGAAGCTTCACTGCCGATTCGCTCCAATCATCACGCCCGCCCTCAGTTCACTGGAAACTTCACTGACGAGTGCCAAAGGATAACCTTGACCTTGCGCACGCGCCAAATGGCATCCCCGCGATTTCGGCCCGCAGGCCTACCTTTGGGTCTCTCCCTCTCGCCAACGCGCGAGGAAGCGCGCGTCGCGGCGGCGCCTGGGCACGACGCTGTGGGCCGTGGTCCGGCCAGCAGCACTTCGCGCGCGCTGGGCCGGAGACGAGCCGAGACAGCGGGAGAAGCAACTGCTCCGTGGAGGCCCGGAGCCTGAGGCCGGAACTGATGAATAGCCCACCCGCACAAAGCGACGGAACGCGGCAGGTGGGCGACTGGGCGGACGGAGCCGTGTCCGGTGTCCCCCGCGCAGGTGCTGCAGCGCATGGTGCGTGGCGACACCTTGGTCACGTGAAGGAACACGACGACGCGGCTGTACACGCCGATGGGGAAACCAACAACGAAGCGCGCGCGGTGCTGCCTGCCTGAAACGGCGACGCGAGGCCAGTCCAGCTCCTGTCATCCTTTTCCGCGGTGTGCAGCCATCGGATCGGATCCATGCATGCGCACAGGACAAGCTGCTGGACCCTGGCCACACGCAGCCTGGCTGCCATAGCTGCCACACTCACCATCGTAATGCTGTACTGCTAACCACCGTTACAACTATCCATCTGGCAATCACCACAGGTGGCTCAGAGCTTTCAGCAATTCACAAGCACGGCGAACCGGGGTGTAAAAACAAATGAATAAACTATGGCACAGCAGGTTTTAATAAGTTAGCTAGCAGCTGTACACGGGGTGCTACAAATGAATTAATAATATGTATAATAAATAAACAAAACCAAAAAAAATAGTCGACGATGGCCGAAGCGGTTAGCTGATCTGCAGAACGGGTCAGGGGCGTCTACCCTACAAGCTCATCGATCTCTGGTAACCCTACAACGGTGCGGTTGCACCGCGAAAGCCGCAGTCCAAACACAAAGCAACATGTCTCGGCAGCGGACAAAAGGCTCCAGCTCGATTCATCCCGCGTCACCTCTCTGTACAATGTACATTGGCGTGCCAAAATGCTGCGGTTATGGAAAACCTTTTGATAAATCTGATAGCCTGGCCTCTTCTTTGTATGTTGACATGGGATGTGGGGCGTTCCATGAATCTTGGATTTTTATGATAACAGAATCTTGTTTGCCCCATGCTTTGATCTGAACCAAGATCATGCAGCTTACATCTTCCAACTATCTTCTGGGGGTTCCCGGTGAACTAGAGGTCCGTAATTCAGCTTCTCAGATGCACAAGGGCCTGCCGCTTCACTCAGTCGCTTCAGGGGTCTCCCAACTACCAGAATAAGTCTGGTGATTTTCTATTTTCATAACTGTGCTAACAACTCGTTCGGCTGATCCAGTCTGTGAAGGGTGTTCGGCTGATTTAATAGTGTTCTGTGAGTGAGAATAAGCTGAAACAAGTTGAGACTAGACAAGCAGAACAGGCTGGCTCGAGGAGAATGGTGGGTCATCCAGATCAAAGAGCATGTTGCCCAATTCATGTACAGATCAATAAAACCCCCATGTTGCAACCTGTTAACTTCACCAAGTACCACAGGCCTCTACACCAGAGCCTGAAACCCAAAATCTTGGGGCGCCTGGCGAGCAAGGTGCATCAGCTGCTACTAGGGTTGTGCCACTGCGCCCTAGGAACCACTGAAGTCAGTCCCTTGCAATGACAAAAGCTCAAGTCCTCAAGCAGAACTTTAGCATTGGTAGGAACTAGGAAACACTGCCACTCTCCTGTGCAACTCGGGCTTTCTCTTCTTCGGCGCGAAGATGGAGCTCCTTGTATGTATTTGCAGATGCAGAAGTGAAGTTCTCCATTGCCTCAAAAATATTTCTCAGACTTGTTTGTAAACTGCCAACTTCAGCACCAGGGCCTCGCTCATGTAATACTTGTGCAGACAAGGATACACTGCCCTGGTTCGAAATGAGCACAAGCTTCTTATTTTGTTCTTCCAGAGCCTTGCGCATTGATTGTTCATCTCTTTCCATCACCCTAAGATCCCTGTCCATGCCTTTATTCGCCATCAGACCCTGTCTTTGCTCTGACCTGTGCCTCTCCCAGAGGTTCAGCACGTTGGATGCAAAGGCCTGCATTGCCTCAACTACTTCTTTCTCAGATATCCTGTCCACACTGGCAGCCCAATTATTACATATGACGAAAATCGGTGGCCCTCCTAGCCTTCCAGGAGAAAATGGAGGCGCCCCATCCTCAGTTTCCTCAGGAACGTAGATAACACCATTTCTCAGCCATTGATTTAAAGTTTTAACATAATTCTTTTGAACGCTAACCCATGCAACAAAACAAGCAATCCAGTCCAATAGCTGAAGCTCTAACCGCTTGATCAAGTCCATATGAGCGTCACCGAACTTTGCAGTGTCTATCATGGAGTCTATGTTTTTAGCTTGGGATATGGCATGCAATTGTATCTGATGACATTCTAGCATAACGCTCCACATCTTCATCAACCTGAAATATATTGTTTTTTTAGTCTCGAGAAATAATCTATGGCAAATATACCAACGTACAAATAATCAAGTAACTCTGGACAAAAAACAGGATTCACAGATGCCAACTTATACATCTAAGAATACAACTCATTGTAAATACAATTTTGAATCGAAGAATGCATGTACAAACTCCAATCATGTTTTATACATCTTTTATGTCAGGAACACCAATGTCTACCTTCTAGAAAGTTCTCCAAACTTTATTCATGATGTTACACCTATATATCACTCTATCAGTATTGACACAGGATTATCAATCTATTTAGGCATGAATCACAATAAATATGTTATTCCTGTTTTGCTAGATATTGTGTGGGTTACTTCCAAGAAAACCATTACGATGATGTTTGGTTCAGAAACTGTAACGCAAACAGCAATGTAACCGAAAAACAGGCGTAACATTACTAAAGTAACAGATCACTCGATATGTTTGTTTTTCACACGGTAAAGGAAATGGAAAGGGCCTGCATGCGGCCATGCGCCTCGCAACAGGCGGAGCGGAGAAGACCCGCAGCCGGCCTGGTCCAGAAGATGTGGAGCAGAGGAGGAAACGCGCAGGTAACAATTCACACTCTTTTGGCAGGGGTAACAAATTCCTACAGGGCGGTATGGGATTACGGCATGACCGAATTATGGATGGACGGAAACTAACACGATCATACGTTACCCGTTAGCAGTGTAATTGAATGACGTTACAAATACATGAACCAAACAGCATCTACTACTTAGGCCAGTGAGAACCTTTTGAGTAATTTATTTCCATACTATGAATTGCAGAGGGAACCCAAACCAAATTACTAGTTAGAAAAGTGCAAAACAAGACATGCCAAAAAATCAGAACACAGATAGAGGAAGTATTGCAATAACGTGGCTAAAATAAGAAGGTTAGAGCTGCTTTGAGATAAGAACTGCATACCCTTGAATGAGCTCACAGGTTTGTGGCCACAACTCTTCATCCCTCAACTTACTAATCTTTTCTGAAATAGTGTTTACAACCTGGATAGCTATGCTAATCTTAGTTGATAGCTTCCTGATGTAAAGTTCAGTGGCCTCAAGCTTATGAGCTTCTGCACCTTTCTCATCTAACATTTTCAGCTCCTCACGTTTTCTGTCATACAGTACCCGCATCCTCTCCTCTGTCTGTCAGGCCCAAAAGAAGTTACATCAGTTTACACGGTACAGAAACAGAATTAGCGCATCCTCTCCTATGTCTGTAAGTCCCAAAGGAAGTTACATCAGTTTACACAGTACAAAAAAATAATGAACTGGAAATCCATGCTGCCTTTTACTAGGCCTGACATAACAAAAACAAAACAAGAGAAATTGTTCAAAAAACATGGACCCATAAGTAGGCTGGCAAAGTAAAAGCATTATGGTGTCAGAGTGAAGCCTTGGGAACAAAAAGGCTGAATGTAGAAAACATAAAGCCCATGCAAAAGAGAGCACAAAACCATAGACACAATCATTTCTCGAATAGACCATTTCTCAAAAAGGAAAAAGGGAGAAAAATGCAAGGATATTAGAAGCACAATTAATTTCTTAATAACATATGAATAGGCACTCCAAAATAGGTATTGGTGCGGGCACATTCATAATTATAGCCTAAACTAGCTACTTGATCTGTAATTAGCGTCTTGAAGTCAAAACTAATCAGAAGCTAAAATTTCTATATACGGCAACCCCAAAAAATTTAAATAGAACAAAGCCAGGATAACATGAGAGAATGGATAAAATCTGGAAGCTTCACATACGAGATTTTGACTGTGCACTCTCAGTTAAGATCTACAAGCATGTAGGTGCAAGCAGATAGAATCATATGCCCAAAAGCGATCTCACATACCACAACATTCCTAACAAATCCAAAGATGTAAAGCACATTCTATACCTTAACTTCCTCAAGAAGCTTCTTCTCCCACATGTACAACTTCTGTAGTGTAGAGGAGAGGTTGCCGGATCCCATCGCCTTGTCCTCTTCAAAACGCAGAAACTCCTCCTCCATTGTCGGTATACCACAAACCATCATTGCAGAGACTAAATGACCAATTGTGTCAAATTAGCATTCATACTGCTAAGTGCACAGTAAGACTAAAAAATATTATTGCAAATGTGAAATAAGCTTTACCAACCTTTGAAACCTGAACTCTTCTGGTAGTAAGGCATCTTTCCAACCTCAAGCATCTTGGATACCTCACCAGCTGATTGAGAGGCACGATCGAATTGAGTCCTGATCTCCACCACCACCTCAGTGTCATCAATGTATATCTTCTCTGATCCTGTGGGTGGTAGACCGGCAACATGCTGCCGTGGCTCCGAGTGTTGAACTTGTTCTCCGACAACACTCTTCTCCACTACATGCACGTCATGCTCCAAGCTGCTCCCACTACTGCTGGCCTCAGACGCCTTGGACTTGCGTGGCAGTTCATCTCCCGTACTGCTCCTACCCTCTTCCTTGGCCGCCTTCCCGTTCCCCATGTAACCCTTCACAGGGTGCTTCTCATCACCATAAGCTTCCTTGACTACCTCCATGTCTTCGTCCTCCAAGTCTGGAATCCCTTCCTCCTCGCGCACATCCTTTGAACTCCTGCTGGGAGAGTATGGAGCTGCTGTAGCAGTTGGTTGCTCGTAGTAGCTCTCATAAGTTTCAAACGGGTTCAGGAAGTCCCAGGTGGACACCCTGGGCGGAGATGGAGGCGGTGGTGGTGCGGCTGGCTCACGGGAGGAGGAAGGGATGTCTGCTGGTGGTGCAGGAGCAGAACCACCTCCATAGTAACCACCATAGGCATACTGATTATATGAGCCCGAGCTCTGCGGTGGGTAGTACCCACCACCATAGCCGCGCGGGGGTGGCTGCTGCTCACCATTGCCGGAATAGTAGTGGACCCTGGAGTTAGTTGCCTGCAGGCGGTGCTCGTGCGAGACTGACGGTGGAGGTGGCTGGCTGCGAGCGTAGTTGATGTTAAAGAAGCTCTGGCCATATCCACCTATGCCACCATAGCTTTGGTCATAGCCGCCAGCGCCGCCGCCACTGCCCATGCCACCGTAGCCCTGGTCATCATAGCCGGCGCCACCACTGTAGCTTTGACCGTAGCCGCCGCCGCCCATGACACCATAGCCTGGTTCATAACCGCCGCCGCCGTTCATGCCTATACCGCCATAATCAGGACCAGGACCCGGACCAGGCCCAGGCCCATTGGCGTACTCGTAGCCGTATCCAGGACCATACGGCGGCGGAGCATACCCGGAGGCATAAGGCGGTCCCATCTGCGGCGGCGGAGGACCCGGCTCCCCGGCGGAGCGGACGACCTCCGGGCGGCGGCGAGCCGGGTCGGGCTCCTCGTCGTCGTGGAACTTGATGTGCCCGCCCTCGGAATCGGAGTCGTCGTCGGAGAAGTGGATATGCCCGTCGTCGGGGCCGATGCGGACCTGCTTGGCGACGGGCGGCGCGGCGGAGGAGGAGGACGCGATTGCGGGCGGCGGCGAGGCGGCGGGGAGGCCGTCGCCCTTCCGCTGCTGCGGGAGGCGGAGCGCGGGCTCGGGGGGCGGCGGCGGCAGCGACTGGACCCCGCGGAGGAAGTCGTGCAGCAAGGCGCCGACGGAGCGCAGCGACTCGGCGTAGGCGTGGTGCGCGTCGGCGAGCATGTAGCGCTGGCGGATGGCCAGCGCCAGGAGCTCGGAGCGCTCCCGGCAGTGGCGCACCGCGTACTCCTCCTCCATCTTGGACTGTCCGCATCCCATGGCGACCCGACCGACCGGGGCAGCCGGCTGCCTGCCGCCCGCAAGAACCGCTTTTTATTCCTCCCCTCGCTGCTTCGCCCAGAGTCACAGCAGCGGCGGGTGGGGCGAATCTAGAGGGGGAGCAGCGGGCGGGCGCGGAGGCGAGCAGATCTGGGGTGGCTACCTCCTACCGGCTACAACGGGGAGTGGTGGAGGGGACGGGGGCTCGGCCTAGAATCTTTGCCTTTTGGCGTGGGTGGCAGCGGGGAGCGGCTCGTCGCGATGCGCGCGGCGCAGGTCCTCCTTCTCCTTCATAGGCCGCGGTGAAAACCCGCCCGCATGCTCCTCCGCTCCTCCTCCCCCTCCTCCCGCGGCGGTGGGGAGAGCGCTCCTCCGTCCGACGAGGGGAAAGTGGCGGTGGCAACGAGCGAAGCGCTGCGGCCTGCGAGCGTGTGCCGTGTGTGGTGCCTTGTGGGCGGCTTAGAGTAGACTGGCTAGCGCGGCTAATGGCTGCGTGTGTGGATGTTGGTTACGGAGGTGCGATGGTTTTACCGGAAAAAAAGCCGGGGAATCATTTGACGGACGGGGCGGGGGCCGGAGGGGGAGGAACGGAACGGAGACGGTGGAGGGAGGATCGCGGGGGTGGGGCAGCCCAGGGGAGACATCCGTACATTGACGCCTGTCGCCGGCGTGGAGGGCTGGATTTTACCCTGCTGCGCCTCTGCGCTTGCCGCTGCCGCCGCCCGCTGCCAGCCACACTTGGTGGGGTGCGGCTGGGTGCGCAGTGCGCTGCCGTGCCGCCCCCCTGCCCCTGCGTTTTCTCCGTTTCGTTTTTCCCTTTTCTTTCACTCGCCTTTTTCTCCGGCTTATTTATTTCCTTTTCTCTTTTCTGATGATCCCCGTCTTATCATGCATCTTGTTCTCTGCTCCCCGTGTTTTGTCACGTATTGCTGCCATTTTTCTAACGGTGACGGCTGCTGGTGACGTGGAAAATTTTGTTGTGGGGGCGCGGTCGAGGAGATGCTGGTGAGAGATGGTACGAACTGAATGACTGGGGCGTGTCTGCGGTTTGGTGTGATTACTGATCATCGATCAGCGAGGTTGGCGTTTGGTGCGAAAGTTTATGAATCCGGGTGCTGCCAGCCGGGGCTGGATTTTGGATCCAGCGGTTTTTGTCTGTGCGTGTGATGCATTGATGCCTCGTGTTCGATAATTTAGGTTGTGTTTACGTGTAGGAATTTGGAATTTATGATTAACGTAGCATGTTCGTTTTTATTTGGTAAATAGTGTTCAAATATGGATTAATTAGACTCAAAACGTTCGTCTCGAAATTTCGTACCAAACTGTGCAATTAGTTTTTTTCGTCTACATTTAATGCTCCATGGAGCGCAAACATTTAATGTGACAGGTACTATAGCACTTTTTGGGATTTTGGCTTCAAACTAAACACGCGCTTAGGTCTCGTTGGATCACGGAGCTAATAGTCACCTGCTAAGAATAATTTTTTAATATAAACAAGTATAGCTAATACCCCCTCCGTGCAGAAAAATATGCAATTCTAGCTGTCGGATACCATAAAAAGAGGTACCCTAAACAAGAACCGAAAAGATTGTTTAGACCCTACAAATATCAAAGCGAAAGGACAACCACGAGGTCTCGGCTGATACTCCGATTTGCCCGAGGCCCGCGCCGCAAAGGCCTCGGACGAAAGGCCAACTCTCCGCCTCGTCGAGGCCCTCACGCCCGAGGCCCCGCCCCGCAAGGCCTCGGACAGGTTACCGATTCTCCGATTCGCCCGAGGCCCCGCACATAAAGCCTCAGACGAAGTACCGATTCTCCGACTCGCTTGAGGCCGGCTCGGCAACAACCTCGTCGCCTCCGTCTTGACCGACTTCTCTAACAAAACGTCACGTTCAATTACCGCGTCCAACCACTCCCGCAACGTCAGCCGCACGTCGGCGCAGTACAGCAGAGTGGCCGACGGGACGGGAGACAGGACTGAGCAGGGATTACCGGCCACTGTGCTCAGCACTGCTCCCATAACTGGCGCCCGTACTGCACTGTGCTACCTAATTCCTGCTCCAGGAACAGCGCAGCGTGGGGAGTCAAGTCCGGGTCACTATAGCCTCGGAATCAGTGTATAGGACCAACTGCTCCCTCCAAGCCTCGGCAATCTACTTCAGGGTCTCGGCAGCCTCAGGATTCGCGCCCGCCGAGCCCCCCACGATGGCTCGGCCTCGGCACCAACTGAGCCTCGGCTTTTTACACTGTCAACGTACAGCGACCGGCACGTCGTCGACCATTCCCTGCGCCAAGCTATCACTGGAGCACCCACGTCGCACAAGATCGGGTGTGACCGGCGCGTTGCTCCGGTGCATCGAGGACAAGACCGCTCCGTTGACCATGTCATGTCGCCACAGTAGTAAGCTACAGGACTCGAGCACGCCACCTCCGCTCGCCGCATAGCAAACACATGTATCATCCCTGTCCCCCCTTCAACTATAAAAGGAGAGACCAGGGCCGTTTCTAGGGAGAGGAAGACAGACGAACACACGCGTAGGCTCACGTAGATTCAGACACATGCTCCCCCGCTGCCTGAGAGCAACGTCTCAAGCAGCCCGCACCGCTCCACGCAAAGACCTGGGACTAGCTCCCTCTCTCGCCCAGCTTGTAACCCCCTACTACAAGCACTTCGGTTGAGGTCTTCTCGGTTGAGGTAGCCACTCCCCTGTACCTTAACTGGTCTCAAGAGGCGATCACCTTCGATCAGGAAGACCACCCCAACTATGTCCCAAACCCTGGGCAGTACCCGCTCGTCGTCGACTCGATCATCGGCAACACCCGGTTCACCAAGGTACTGATGGACGGAGGCAGCGGCCTCAACATCCTCAACGCCAACACCCTGGGGCTCCTAGAGCTTGATCAGTCATGGCTCCGAGGTGGTGCCGCACCCTTCCACGGTGTCGTGCCGGGGAAGCGCACGTGACCCCTCGGGCGCATCAACTTGCCAGTCTGCTTTGGCACTCCCTCCAACTACCGCAAGGAGACCCTTACCTTCTAGGTGGTTGGGTTCAAGGGGACTTACCATGCTATCCTAGGGCACCCGTGCTACGCCAAGTTCATGGCGGTCTCGAACTACACCTACCTCAAGCTCAAGATGCCAGGAACCAACGACGTCATCACCGTCGAGTCCACGTATGAGCATGCATACGACTGCGACATCGAATGCATCGAGTACGCCGAGGCTATCGTGGAGGCCAAGGCCCTCATCGTCAACCTCGACCAACTCGGTAGTGAAGTGCCCGACTCCAAGCATCGTGTCGGGACTTTTGAGCCCATAGAGGCTATCAAGCTCGTCCTAGTCAACGCCAACTGCTCCAACGGCCGAACGTTGAGGGTCAGCGCCACCCTCGACAGCAAATAGGAAGCCGTGCTCGTCGACTTTCTCTGCGCGAATGCCGATATGTTCGCGTGGAGTCCCTCGGACATGCCGGGCATACCGAGGGAGGTCGCCGAGCACGCCTTGGACATCCGGGCCAGCTCTAGACCGGTGAAGCAGTGCCTGCGCCGATTCGACGAGGAGAAGCGCATGGCCATCGGCGAGGAGGTGCAGAAGCTTTTGGCGACCGGATTCATCAAGGAAGTGTTCCATCCAGAGTGGTTAGCTAATCCTGTATTAGTTAAGAAGAAAAATAGAAAGTGGAGGATGTGTGTGGACTACACCGGTTTCAATAAAACATGTCCAATGGTTCCATTTCCATTGTCTCAAATCGACCAAATCGTTGACTCCACTGCAGGATGCGAGACCCTATCTTTCCTTGATACGTATTTCGGTTACCATCAAATCAAGATGAAAGAGTCCGACCAGCTCATGACTTCTTTCATTATCCCATTCGACATGTACTGCTATGTGACCATGCCATTCGGTCTCAAAAACATAGAGGCCACATACCAGCGGTGCATGACCCAGGTCTTCGGCGAGCACATCGGGCAAACTATCGAGGCTTACGTGGATGACATCGTGGTCAAGTCCAGAAAGGCCAGTGATCTCGTCGATGACCTAGAGATTGCCTTCAAATGCCTCAGGGAGAAGGGCATCAAGCTTAATCCCGAGAAGTGTGTCTTCAGGGTCCAACGAGGCATGCTCTTGGGGTTCTTAGTCTCAGAGCGCGGCATCGAGGCCAACCCGGAGAAGGTCTCGGCCATGACCAACATGGGGCCAATCCGAGACCTCAAGGGAGTATAGAGAGTTATGGGATGTCTTGCGGCCCTGAGCCGCTTCATCTCGTGCCTTGGCGAAAAAGGTTTACCTCTATACCATCTCTTGAGAAAATCCGAACGCTTTTCTTGGACCCCCAAGGCTGAAGAAGACCTCACCAAGCTCAAGGCACTGCTCACCAACCCTCCCGTCCTGGTACTGCCAACCAAGGGCGAGGCCCTCTTACTCTACGTCGCCGCAACGACCCAAGTGGACAGCACGGCCGTAGTAGTCGAGAGGCAGGAAGAGGGGCACGCTCTACTCGTCCAACGACCTGTTTACTTCATCAGCGAGGTACTCTATGAAACTAAGACACGTTACCCCCACATCCAGAAGCTGATCTACGCAATAGTCTTGGCTCGGCGCAAGCTGTGTCACTACTTCGAATCCCACCCGGTGACCGTGGTGTCGTCCTTCCCTCTGGGAGAGATAATCTAGAACCGGGAGGCCTCAGGTAGAATAGCCAAGTGGGTCATCGAACTCATGGGGGAGGCCCTGTCTTTTGCTCCTCGGAAAGCAATTAAATCCTAGGTCTTGGTCGATTTTGTGACTGAGTGGACCGACACCCAGCTGCCACCTGCTCAAATCCAAGCGGAATGCTGGACCATGTACTTTGATGGGTCTTTGATGAAGACCGAGGCAGGCGCGGGTCTGCTCTTCATCATTCCCCGCGGAGTGCATATGCGCTACATGATTCGGCTCCACTTCGCCGCCTCCAACAACGCAGCCAAATACGAAGCTCTCGTCAACGGCTTGCAGATCA